ACCAGACACCACTATTAGGCAGGTAGCACTCAGGCCTTTGTGGCTGCCTATCTCACCAAGGACATGGAGCCACTGTTGTGAGAGCTTTTGGCCTAGTGGGTAAGCCGCAGCCACATGCGGCCAGATCTCACCACGGTTGCTCAGGGACACCTGTCCTGTCCACCAACCAGTGTTCCAAGGGAGAGGGTATTCAGCATTGCTGGGGATGTAGTGACATTCCAATGCACCTCCTTGGATCCTGGTTTGGTGGAGAAGCTGGTGTTCCTGAAGGTGAACCTCCTGCTGCTGGGGTTCCCCAAGCTCCAGGTGCAGATAGAGTGAATGCCACCCTCCTCGCTCCATCTGCACCTATTTCCTTTTCTCATTTTTTAAAACCATTTAATGCCCTGTTGTCAGAGCTGGAGGGGGCACTCACTGCATCACCAGCCAGCAAGGGAGCAACGTGTCCCTGCTGAGCTCCCATGCCAGGATGAACCTGGAGGTCTGGACTGGGGCTATGGGAAAGGGGGAGGCCCCAGGTCCTGGACATAACCACTAAAACTGCACTCTGCCAGGGTTGGAGGCCTGGTGGGACTGCCGGCAGCACAGCAGCCCCAGAAAATGCCAGGACTGAGGATCCCCATGGTGAAAGGCAGGTAGGAGGTGCCATAACCTCCAGCCACCACATGCACGCACACAGTCCTGGCTGGGGAAAGCCCAGACCCATCATATCTTTGAGAGGCCTGAGGCTTGCTGGTTGCAGTAGAGTTCTGAGACTCCAGGTGAGATCAGTTTAGCTGCCTGAGAAGCCAGCTTTCGGGTTGAAAAACCCTTTGTTATGCTGAGGAAGCACCTATAGTTGGTGTGTGTGCTGTTCCTGGATGGAAGGAATAGTAAAGAAGGCAGAGGCTGGTATGCAATGCAGGCAAGAAAGCCAGTCAGTGAAAATGGACATGGAGGCATCAGGGGGTGAGGGACAGGCTGCAGTGGGGGAAAGGGGGATGTAGCAGCACAGGTAAAGGTGGAGAGGTACCTGGGGAGTCAGATGTCTGGCAGGTTGTAGTGTCAGAATTCCACTGTCTATATTGAGTCCATGAGCTTCAGTACCTAGGGGGTTGATAAAGTGCAGTTCATCTGTGAAAAGTGGTTTGTAAATACCCTTTGAGGATCAGGCCTGAGAGACTGGAGACAGGTGGTGTTCTATTCTAGTCTTTGCTAGATTTTTGGTGCGCGCTCATTCTTGTGCGCAGTTGTTGCTTGGTGTCTCCATGTATTTTCCATCAGGGCATCTGTATTGTGAAGATATCTCCATACTGGAGATATTGTTGGCAGGTTTTGTGTGTCTTGTCATGGCATGGCCTGGATCCATTCGGTGTGTTTTGTGCTGTAGGAAGGTGGCTTCTGGTGATGAGGTTAGTGAGGTTTAGTGTTTGTTTGAATTTACAAACCACTTTTCACAGACGAGCCTATGAACTGTACTTCATCAGGGCACAGTTGGTCTACTAAAAGATACCAGATTAGATTGACCCAAAGAACCTTGTCTGCCAGTGCCATGTCCTTAGGCCAACACCTCTAGCACCTGTCTCCGGTCAGCTGAGTGGAAGGACACAGGGCCCTGGGTAGTGGGCACATCTGTGGCTGGGGCTGGCAGGGAGAGTTCTCTGGAAGCTGCTGGAAAAAAAGCTCCTTCAGGAAAGGAAAGAAAGGCTCTAATCTGTGACAGTTTGGCTGCCTGAGATGCTGCTGGTGCTACTATGCTACTTACTAAGTTTTATTACCTGTTGTTATTTAAAGTGGTGGACTGGACTGAGGCTGTACAGGAGGAGGAACCCTCATTGGGGCACACTACTGTGTCATGTAGAGGCACCAGCACCAGCGAGGGTGCACCTTAACACACACACAAAGTCAAACAAGTCACAAGTTTTGCTTGTCAGCAGCTTGAGGTGCAGTTTCCCAGAAACCCCTGCAGCTATCTCCTTGAAACTTGGCAGACGTCATGACATCAGAAGGGTCTCCCATCCCTTCTGTTTGTATCCAAATCTGCCAAAAAATGTCAAAGTTATAGGCAGTTTTGTGCTTCCCCATTATAGCCTATGAGCAAAATGTCAACACAGTGTCGAAACGGTGAAACAGTTTTAACAAAACGAAACTGAACAGTGCTTTGAAATGAAATAAAATTCAAAACTAAATACTGTCCTGTCAAAATGGTGAAATGGAAGTCAAAACAAAAAGGTGCTGTATCTCACAGCCCAACTATCGGTTGCTGCCTCTGGGCTCTCTGAGAATACAGACATCTGTACATTCAGGACTGTTTCAAAAGGGAATGTGCAGCAGATGTAATATTTTAACAGGTATGTGTGGACAAGCCAGGAACAATGTAAATGTAGCAAAGGTGGGCCAATGCTACTTTAATGCTAGATAAAACAGTGCTGAAGTTGGAGCAGTTCTGCTTCATTTGTATTATTCCCAGTTTGTATTATTCCCACCTGTAACTGTTAGAATGTGATCATTGTTGCATAGTTTGGAGCAAAAGGACCCCCACCCTTCCCTCTTAAAATGGCTTTAAATGTATGTGTATTCATGCTCAGAATTATCTTTTGGAACTCCTCAATCTCTGCATAGAAAGCCTAGACGCCTAAACCTGAATCACTTTTCAGGGGCACCTAAGTCCTCCTTACTGACTCCTATACACATGGTCAGAGGTGGTGGTTGGGGTGGTGTTTTAATTAGAGCAGGTCCTGGACAGACACTCTAATTAAAATAGCTCACCATCACATGTATTAAGTTCCTGCACATTTCAAAATGTCTATAGGATACTTTATCTAAAGCTCATTTGACGAGATTTAAATAAAGTGCCCCCATAGCCATTTTGAAATGCGCGGGGACTTAATACACGTGATGGTGAGGTGATGCTGGAGCATTCTAATTAGTACGTGGGGAAGACTCGAATAATAGATTAATCACTGCTCTGGCTCATTCTAATTAGAATGTGAATGAGCACATCTATAAGCACCCAAACCCCTTTGCACTTAACAGCAGGCCAAATAAATGGAGCTCAGCCATAAGGTGTGCTGGAGGTGGCAGTTCTTAAAAATCCCACCACTTGCCAGCTTATTCTCATGCAATACATACTAACAGCAGGTGATATAAATTTCATTTTTTGGCATGATTGGCAGATGGGATAAAATCTCTTTGCTGGCTGAAGGCTGTAGGTTGCTGACCTCCCATTCTAAGCTGTATATACTGCTCAAGCTGGAATGCTAAAGGTCAAGTAGTGCTGGCTGTCATAACTTCCAACTGCTAAATTGCATTAAGAGCAGTTAACAACATGTTAACTACTTTGTTAATAATCCTTTCCCATTTAATCAATCAATTTAAATTCCTTCATGCTTGCTGTTCAGTAGCTGATGGGAGGGAAGAACAACCAAAAGGCATATACAGTCCACATGCTGTTATGGGTTGAGATTTGAATAAGCTTCCTTGTTGCTATTGGCTAGCAGTAGCTTGGAATAAACAAAAGTGTAAATATCAGCTTATGTAGATTGCTGAAAATAACATTTTTTTCAGTTTATTTGCAGTTTAAAATATCAGTAAACAGAAAAATGGGTACTCATCCTTGAGTGCCTTATATCATTAATCCTTTTACATCTTTTAGGGTTTTTTTAAAAACAAAATTTGAGTAACCCTGAAAATAAAATAATGTGTTGCATAAAATGGTTTCATCTTGAAAAAGCTGAAATGAAACATTTTGACTTTTTTGTATTTTTTTTTTCTTTTCAATAAATGAAAAATGTCAGGATAATTGACATGATGTCACCAAATGATTTGGCCAGTTTGAATATGTTTTGTATGACCAGCATTTCAGATTAAATTTTTACACACCTTTAATCAAAATGAGCATTGTACCCAGTGCCTTTTATGCATTTATATGTTTTATCTATTGACTATCTAATATTGAGAAAACACTTGACCTCTGTTTCATTAGTAACACTTTTACATAAATCATATGGGCCTAATGCTGCTGTATTCACATTACTTTAAATTCAGAGTAATGCCACCAGGCCTGGGGATTCTGTATTTATGGTAGTACAAGAAACCCTTGCTATTCGTGGGTTCGGCATTCGTGGTTTGAAATATTCACAAATGCCAAACCCGCATCTTAAATACACTTACAGGAGCTCCTTGGGAACTTTGTGCTTGCCACCACCAGGCTCACACCACAGTTGCACTCCCACCGTCGCCTGTGCAGCCGTGCCCCACCCCCAGCTGCTGCAGACAGCATTCATGAACGCAGTGCCTTATTCATGGATTTCACCATTCGCGGGGATCTTGAGAACGTATCTCCCACAAATGGTGAGGGTCTCCTGTATAGCTAAGAGAAGAAGACAGTCTTACCTAAAATTTTGTTCAGGAAATTCAAGCAAGCACTGTGGATAATTTCCAACACAGAAATAATTGTCTAAGATAGCTGTTTTTCATTTTTCTTTGGCATGGGATTATATTGGCATCTGTCCCAGATAATTTTATATCAAGAATTTGACACATTGAGAATGGCATTGTATAGATGGTTATTTTCTTTTCAAAAAGTCAGTGCACTACAGCAAAAACCCAGCACTTGTATAAAACTCTGCTTAACAAAGATTGTTATAATGCAAGTGGCTAGTTTGGTCTGCAGAGCTTTGATGCATGAGTACATGTTGGCAATGTATGTTTTTTGGTGGGGTGCGGGGGAACAGAGAGGGGTTCGATCCGTATATTGAAGGCTATCTTCTTTCTTCATCATAGCAGGGACCTTTGCTCCGATAAGCAGGGGAGAGCCTTCTTAATAAACATGGGGGCTTGGGAGAGAAAACCTTCAGCTTCTAGAAGGTTATGGTAGAATGGTAGCTGCAGTACCAAACTTCTGGCACCTAGACAACTGCACTCAATGTGGATACCTTTCCCCCTGTAAAAAGGAGACTATTCCAGGAAACTGGTGCTAACTACAAGATTTCTCTTTCCTTCCCTTTCCTCAGCAACAGATGACACAACAGAATGTTGGTCCCAGCCAGAAGGCACTGCCATCCAAGCACCTGGGGCAGGGGCCTGCATTTGAAGTACAGCACCATCCGGATAATGCACACAAGAGGAAGCAACTGATGAAAGAAATGTAGAGATAAGATAAATAGAGAATAGAGAACAAAGGAATGGGCAATGAGAAAGCACAGGTGCATATAAACACACACTTGATTTTTTCCCTCGATTTTTACTGGCAAAAGAGGGAAAGGTAGAAGGAATGGCTTACTAGAGTTTAGGAAGGGGCCCTATACTGTGCTGAAGTTGTCTCAAGCAGAGGAGAATAAGGGTGATGAGTGGCAAAGTTCCAGCACTTTTACTTTCCCAATTTAAGAAACCAATGGGAAATATAATTCTTCAGCTCTCAAAGCTCTCTAAAATGGTATTTTAGGATTAATTTCTTTGATTCCCAGCTTTTCAAGTAATTGAGCATGTTTCATAAGAAGAAGCGCTGCAAGAAAGTTCATGACATCCATTATGTGAAGTACATAGCCCATGCAGATACCTGATTAGACAACTTCTGACCACAGAAGGAAGCATTAAAAACTGCCCAACTGAATGAGATGCTTTATTGTGCCAACCTAAATCTGCTGTTCCCATCAGCACTAATTATAGACAACTAATTCCATTAGCTTCTTAAATACATTTCAAGCTACAGTACTTACAAGCTAAAAGCAACTGCTACCCTGTAATGGAGTTATAGTTTTTATGTCAACCCTTTCATTCCATCCAGTGAAGCACACATAGTATTTGCCTTTAATGTTCCTATGGAATCTAAGGTTTCTCTCTTTTATTTATGCTTGTATTTTATTTACCAGATACTTTCCGAGTAACATCATCAGACCGAAGAAAGAGAGACAAAAAAAAGTTCAAAGAAGAATTGTGGGTAGGAGAGTGATGAGGGAAGCCAGACTGATTTCATCGTCCTTGATAAAGGATAGAAGTCCATAAGGTAAGACACTGTTTATTCTACTTTGCTGAATGTTACTCTGCTTTTTAGAGGTGCGATATTTTCTTTTGCAGTCAGAAAACCGTAAAGTTGGAATTAAATTCAGTATTTTTTCTTTCTATTAAGAAAGGGGACTGAAACCACAAAGTAGAAACGAGGCTGAGTCTAAAACTTTCATCTGATCAAGCTCAACCTTCAGGGGAGTTCAGTTCTATATGGGTCACAGACCTTCTTGCATTTCAGACATGTCTATGAAATACAAAACCTACTTTAGTCACAGCATTGTAAATTTCTCTCAGGTTTATGACCTTGTTGCATAATGGGCTTAAGTTCCCAAGCAGTAAATGTCTTTAGGAAAATAGCATTGTACAGGTGTTATTTCTTAAGCGTCATATCTTGATAGATTATTTATGTTGAAAGGTATCCTACTCTTCTAATGCTCTTATTGAAGTCAATGAAGGTTTCTCAAGAAATTAAAAGCAGATAGTTATTAGAAGGGTTAAACATGAGGGTCAAATCGTGTCTGCCATTTGCATTTGGGAACACACAAACCCAGTAATTTGAATGATAGCTTTTCAGTCAAGTGGGAAGCATCATGCTTGGGAGAGGCCAAATAAGGAGACTTTCACTTATGATATTTTTTTGTCACTGTTCCTTGTAGAGTGAGGTCAACATTATAGAAGTTAATATCTGTTTTGAAAACTGCGTGAAGAAACAGTTAGTATAACAGGGCATGAATCGCTGTTGTGTAGCCCAGCCCCAAATCCATGGCATAAAAAGATCTCTACCTGAGACAAAAAGGTTATAAGTTGCTTAGTTTACAAGATGTGTAAAAGGTTGTAATGGTTCCTTACAATGACAGGGAAAAGTTTGTAACACATGTTAGAGTTGGCTATGGTGGCAAAGAACCATCATTTAAAGTCATCTCAGAGAAATCCAAATCCAGTTTTTAAGTGGGGATTGTTTTGGTGGCAAAGCTATATGCTAAATAGTATGTTTTGACTGGTGACTGGATACACCACATACTTCGTGTGTTTTAGGCAAAGAGTACTGTTAGGTTATTATATGGTTAATTCTCAAAATTGCCTTTGTTTCTCTCTGGAGGCCTTTGAAGTGACTTGGAGTTGTTTCAATCCAGGTTAGAAGCCAAAAAACACAGACATGGCCATAAAAATGCTGGGAAAAGTGAACCAAAGGTCAACCCAGAAAATGAATGGAAAAGCTTGGCAGTGAAGGCTTCCAAAGAAAGCAAATGAGTATCCAGGAATGGAGGCTTTTCAGACACGTTCCAATGGGGAACTGGCAGTATCACTGTGCTGTGACTGTATTCCCTAAGAAACAAGGATTACTACCTTTTTCAGTATAAGAAGTCTCAGAACCTATTGTCATGCTATACTGTGGAATGTACAAATTTTGTTTTGTGTGTCAATTTCTTGCAACAAATTTGTAAGCATTTTAAAGGACTTACAAGCAAGAAAGGAAAGGAAGTCTAAATTTAGAAGGAAGTAGAAATTAAGAATTAGTAGCAAACGGAAAGGAAAATGAATGCCAGACACAGAGAAAGAGAGAGAGAGACTTGTGACTTTTTAAACATTTATGATACAAGTTTAAAAACAAATGGTGAAAGTGCAAAGGTATGTGGCCCTCCTAGGGGACATGCATGAAACACTTGTGACAAAAGAGAGAGAGAAATGTATAGTACAAGTTTTTCAGCTGGGATGCCACAGAGTAAGCCCTGCCGATCCCCTTCCCCTGCCTGATCCTTTGATCTCCTCTCTCCTCCCTTCCTGATCTGTTGCTCTGCTCTCTCCTACTTGGCTGACCAATTCCTCTATTCTTCTCCCTACCTTATCTACGTTGATCTTCCTCCTCTCTACCAAACAAGATGATGGTGCATACTGTTTGTGGCATGTGTGCTGTGGTTTGGCCACCTCTCTGAATCAAGGGAAAGTAGTTGTACTACAAAATAACATTTGACTTGCTGCATCCCTTTGTGCATGGTACTAAGATTTCTGAGGACATATCCCATGGTTCTTACAAGCACAGTGAGCTGGACCTATGAAATTCTGTCAGAATGTATTGTGGGAGAATTTATCTGTCCTTTCTGATATCTGAAAATTAAATTAACTTGGTCAAATAGTGATATAAATGCAATCTATATAACTTTCACTTTCAGGAAGCTGATAGAGGACTTAAGCAGAGTACATAAACACTCAACTTGTGATTTTGCAGATTTCACAGAAATCATTCAATTGGGCAACATCCATGCTACTTGGGTGGGGGAAGGGGACTTACTAAAAATAAAATGCTGTCTTCCCAGAGGGAGCCAGCAGTCTTCATGGCTGCTGCATCCCAGCTGTGCCACCCATTGCGGGCAGAGGGGGCTGCCAGCATGAAGGGGAGCAGGCAAGATGGCTGCTTCTGTTGTCCCCAAAGGACAGTGAGTTCGTGCCCGGTGCGCTTGTGCCAATAAACACACAGGGGTGAAGGATCCAACTTAACCTTTATTTCCTGCGCAGAAAATGGTGCTTGGCAATCGTTCGCAAAGCAAGCACCCCCACCCCAGTGGGCGTCTGCCTTATATAGCTAAGTAACAGGTTAAACTTGCTGATGTGATGAAATGTGTAGCAAGCCCAGCAAGTAACCCCCCTTCCAGCTCCCCCCCCGAGCTGATTTTCCAGTCCATGAAACCTATGTTCTACCAGTGGTCCAGAGGAGAGGAACAAAAGGAGTCTTATTTTTTTGGGGTCAGCATGAACCTCAGCAGTTTAACTTATGTCTGGTTAGCAGTAGTTCCAAATAACTATTTTTTAAGTTTGTGTGCCTTGACAGCACACAGTGTACCATTATTTGTTTGAGTGGAGTTTTAATACAGCAACAAGAAAGAGAAAAATCCAGAAGAATAAGATTGCAAACCCACAAAACTTAGCACTCAGTGCAGATATCTCATCTGTATCCAGGTGTTTTTTAAACATCGTGTGGGCTGGATTGTGTTACATTCTAGTGGTCTTCCACTACAGTGAGAAAATAACTGTGTTCTGCATACTGCAGGTGGGCCAGCCCTAGTAGATGTACAATTGCATGTACGTGTTATCTGGAAATCTACTGTAAGAGATGTTCTTGGATTGTGTGTGCAGGATATTTCAGTCTTTTTAATTTTAATCATGCTCTTCTCTAACAGTATTACTACTTGATTCTAAAGTAATACCTGATACTATGTTCCTTTCCAGTACTAGACTGGAATTACACTGGCAAATGTTAAATCATATGCTATGTGTAGTAGTGAAACTGTATTTGTTCCTAACGCTCTTTGACAAAATTGGTACCTCAGTTGTGTAGCTAGGGAATGCCCCCTTCCTTTGCTCCCCCTCCCCCTGCACCCTTCCACAGGCTTCCTTACTAACGATGTGCAAAATAATTTCCTGCAATACAAACTTTTCAAAGGTCAATAGGGAGGAGAAAATTAGTACAATGGTGTTACCACAGGGTAAAAGAGCCAAGGTGCTAGAAAATAACTCTGAGTGGGAACTATAGGTAGGCATGAGAGAGAGATAGAAAGAGAATGAGAGAAAACTTAAATAAAGGGGTGGGAAGGAGGGAAGGCTATGAAAAATATGTGTGCATAGCTTAAAAATGATAAAGGGGAGAATTCATCAAGACCCACTCTAGAATATGAGAAAAATTAAAGTGAAAACACTGAAATGTATGGACAATATCCATTCTGAAGGCATTAATATACATGAAAATAGGCAGTGTCATATGGACACATGGCTCACAAAAGAATGATGAGGATGTGGATAGTTTCATCACCATCCAGAGAAACTTCTAATCTCTCCAACTGGAGTTGTGTAAGAATTGTAGTTAGTCCTGCAAAATGTGTTGCTCCACTTGCTGGAACAATCACATCTGCATAGCTGGCAGGTGTGTGGAACCAAATGAGTTACATAATTAAATGAGTGTACAGATAGCAGCCCTTTGCACCTCAGAAGGATGGCAGAGTACTAATAGTCGCAACTCATCAGCTGAAAGCAGTGGCCTCAGCAAGAATGGAGAACAAACTACCAGCAGCTGTATAAACAAAGGGTTGACAACAAGTTTTTGTAATGGGTTTTGAACTTGGTCAACCCTGACCACACAAGCAGGACTATTAAATTCAGTGCTGGGTGAGAGTGAGGATAGAATGCAACAAGAAACGTTTGCTTCCTCTTACCAATCTGGCTGAATCTCCCAACACTTTAGATTGATATCAGACAGGGAAAGTGATCAGGAAGCAACCTGTCTGTGTAGCCCGCTGATGAGGACACTCCCTTGTGTCTGGGCAGTCCCAGCTTCTTGGCCCCCCTCCCAGGTTATTTATGTTTTTTATCCAGTGATTGTCTCATGTCAAATTTATAAATCATCCTGGGAATAGGAACAGGAACTGTGTACTGCCCTGACCCAGTGCAGTGCAATCATTGCTGGGATTATAGAATTAAACTCCCACTTCCTTGTTCTTATTCTGGCCTGATGAATCTTAACATTTCTTTATGCACAGTGGCTCAGTTTCAACAGCGTGAGTAATGGGTTCCCTCCTACTATCCTTCCCCCTCATCTTCCAAGCTATTCTACAATCTGATGGTTAAGACATTTTCATGGGACCTGTGGGTTTGTGTCCCCTCAGGCTGGGGACCTGTAACTCGGGTCTTCCACTTCTAGAGTAAATGTTCTTACCAGTATGCTATTATGCAAAACATAGGTACCCACAGAGGTGTCGGGGCAGGACTTTTGACTGAAAGGCTAGGTACAGATATTTAAAAAGCCTGAGGCAGAATGGATATAAGTTAAGTTGTTTTCTGTAAGCGGTGTAGTTTAGATCAGTAACAAACAAAACACATATTTGCCTGGGGGAGGGGGGGCACAAATCTCAGACTTGATTCTGCCATTTTTAAACTAGTCTGTGTGTGTCAAACTTTTGTTCCGTTACAGGTATAGACTGGTTTCTGATCACTTATACCGGTCAAAGT